TTACAAGTAGGGGCTCATCTGGGATCTCAACTGGGTCTCTGAAGCTCAGGATGGGCTCCCTCACCTAGGGGAAGTATATAACCCACACATCTAGGCTGTGTCTAGACTGGCCAGTTTTTCCAGAAAATCAGCCGCTTTTCCGGAAAAACTTGCCAACTGTCTACACTGGCCACTTGAATTTCCGCAAAAGCATTGACTTCCTACTGTAAGAAATCAGTGCTTCTTGCGGAAATACTATGCTGCTCCCATTAAGGCAAAAGTCCCTTTTGCAGCTGAGATGTGTTTTCCGCAAAAAAGCCCCGATTGCGAAAATGGCGCTTGGGGCTTTTTTGCGGAAAAGCGCGTCTAGATTGGCCACGGACGCTTTTCCGCAAAAAGTGCTTTTGTGGAAAAGCGTCCGTGCCAATCTAGACGCTCTGTTCCGAAAATGCTTTTAATGGAAAACTTTTCCGTTAAAAGCATTTGTGGAAAATCATGCCAGTCTAGACGTAGCCCTAGAGTGGTTCACTGACCCATGCAGTGGCACTTAGACCACAGCAACGGATGAGACCTCTACAGCATAGGCTAAGAGCCAGCTGGCTTTAGCTTAGAGTCCTATACCAAGCTCCAGGGATCTCAGGTTCAAATCTGCCTGGTGGTTGTTACAAGGGCAGAACAGTTCAATAGTCCTGCTGTAACCCTAAAGTAGTAGTCTATTGGAGAGTTAGGAGGTGAGAGAAAGGTTTGTGTCCTCCCAGGCAGAGGGGTCCAGGCACGGAACGAACCAGCCACCTGCTGTCACCCAGCCCTCCGCCTCTTCCCGGGACCAGGCTGGCGGCTCCCGGGAGCCTGCCTGGGGCCGCAAGAGGCGGGCGCTCGCCTGGTCTAGTGCGGAGATCGTGGACCTCATCCACGACGTCCGCACTAGGTACAGGAAAGTGGCCGTCTAGGGCAGGAGAGCTGCCCGCCTGGCCACCCAGGAGCAGGTTTGGATGAAAATCAGGGTGGTCCAGTGAGACCCCTGACCCTGAGCCCTGAGCTTAGAATGGCCGTACTGGGTCAGACCAAAGGTCCATATAGCCCAGTAGCCTGTCTGCCGACAGTGGCCAACACTAGGGACCCTGGAGGGGATGGACCAAAACAATGACCAAGCCATTTGTCTTGTGCCATCCATCTCCAGCCTTCCACAAACAGAGTCCAGGGACACCATTTCTACCCCCTGGCTAATACCACTCCATGGACCCAACCTCCATGACTTGATCTAACTTCTCTTTAAACTCTGTTCTAGTTGTAGCCTTCACAGCCTCCTGCAGCAAGGAGTTCCACAGGTTAATTATCTGCTTTGTGAAGAAGAACTTTCTGTTATTAGTTTGAAGCGTGCTACCCATTCATTTCATTTGGTGTTCTCTAGTCCTTCTACTATGGGAACTAATGAAGGACTTTTCTTTATGCACCCTCTCTACCCAACTCCTGCTTTTAGAGACCTCTATCCTGTCACCCCTCCGTCTCCTCTTTTCTAAGCTGAGAAGTCCCAGTCTCTTTAGCATCTCTTCATATGGAACCTCTTCCAAACCCCTGATCATTTTAGTTGCCCTCCCCTCTCCCACCCTCTTTCTTCCCTTCTCCCACCTCCTTTTCCCAGTCTCCCCGAGTTTTGATCAATAAAGAGAGATTCTATTTTTGAACACATGTGTCCTTTATTTTGTACATCAGGAAGGGGGGCTAGGGAGGGGTAAGTGGACGGAGGTGAGGGAGGAATGGGGTATGAGCCCCCGATGGGGAGGACTGAGGTGGCTCTGTGGGCTCCTCGGGGTGGAAGCTCTCCTATAGCCCCCCGATTGACCCCCCCGGATGGCAGCCTGCGGCAAGTGCAGCCGGGCTGATGGCCGAGTGCTGTGATGTGCCGAGTGTGGGCACTCAGGGCACTCCAAGACAGGACTGCTTTGCAGGCGGGGAACGCCTGAGAACTGTCTGTCTGGGGTGGGGGTCGGGACCCTTTAAGCACAGCCCTCGGCTAGCCTGAGACAGCAGCTCCAAGCTCTAAGTCCTAATCTGATGCCCTGCCGGCACTGCTTCCGGCCATCCTTAACCTCGGTTCAGGGTCCACTCAGTGTGGACATGCTAGTTCGAATTAGAAAAATGCTAATTCGAACTAGTTTTTAAGTCTAGATGCGCTAATTCGAATTAACTTAGTTCGAATTAACTATTCGAACTAAGTTAGTTCGAATTAGTGCTGTAGTGTAGACATACCCTCAAATAGTAGTGTAGCCCAAGCACACCAGTAAGCTAGAGGGGCTGTGGCCTCCCTACTCCCTCAGGGCTGAGTTAACCCCCATCAACTAGTGTGGGGTGGGTACACCCTGTCACATACCTGAAAGCCTTTATTTTATACAGTATCTTTCTTTTGATAGAATGTATGATTAAAATGTATAATTCCTGAAGCTTATACTTCACTCAAACACGTAAAATTACCATCCCTCATAGATTTCTTTTAAAAAATTCCAATAAATCTAATATTTCAATTCACCCAAAGTGATTAGCACTGAAGCTGTATTTTATAAAGCTAGTATCTTATTGATATTACAGAGTTCTGTAAGACATACACTGTTCTTAGAAATCACAAGATACACAATATTTGGAATATAATTTTTTAATTGAATTAAAACAGATTTTACAGTATATTGAAACTCTGTAATGAGAAGACAATGTATGATAGAATTCTCTCTTACAAAACACAACTTGGAAATATTTCAATAGGAATTAATGCTAAAATTTGAGTTATAAGTTCGTACAATTAAAATGGTTTTGCATAAACACTTTCATCCTTTGTAAATCCATTTGTTCAGAGCAACATTTACAAAATTGGAATAATTCATACTCATACCAATTCTATTAATTTCTTACATTTACAGGGAACCATTCTTTTCAAATCTATCTTGGCTCTCCTGAATGTCACCATCAATTAAATGGCTCACCTTACTTTTTTGGGTGCTCATTCTACATTATGGGGCAAGACCAACAGTACTACCCAATGCCTACCAAACTCCCTGTTCTTTCCGCTGAGCTACTATTACGGGAACTGACATAGTTAAAAGATTTAAGTATCTCTTCCTTCTGCAACAAACTATAAGGAGATCACCACACCAAAACACTAACTAGCAGTATGGACAAAAAAAACCTCAGGACATTGGGCCTAGATTTTTAAGAGAGTCTAAAGCTATAGATAGGCACTTTTGAAACTCCCATATTGTGCCTAACTACTATTGAAACCAATGGGAATTAGGAACCTTTGGAAAAATCAGCCATAAATAGCTTTATAAATCTGGGATTTAGTCATGGTGAAGGCCCTTAGGTGTCAAATCTGAGATGGCACCTTGAAAGCTAGACTATTAAGTCAATATCCAGCTGAGTAAGGCCACTTAGGCTCTATACAGTACATTTCTTAAAGCATGAAAGCTATTTTCACAGGTTGTGTGTGTAAACTGATAGCTGCTAAGGTATTTATGGCAGCCTATACATTTGGATTTTCTGGTCTACCTGTTTCTAAAAAATATTTCTTTATATTAAGCAGATTTGAAATGTCACCCTAATTAATTATTCAATTTATGGTGTCAGTAGCCAGAATAATCTTGACTAATGTCAGAAGCTCCCTAGCCTCCCTAACATGTAGTGTGGAGTATCTCCATGGAAAAGATGACACGGCTAACATTAAGTAATAATCTACCTGACAGGTTTTCAGAGACTTCACTGAAATTAACTCGAGGGTACAGATGATCAATTCCCTCACATATCTTACTATATGTCCACTTACAGAAATATCATTTCCTTATGTACAAAAGACATGATGTGTACCTCTTTCTACAATATTGCATGTGTTCTTCAGCACTCTGAGTCTGTAAAGCTGTGCTACAGCTCTCACTATATCTGTGTGGTGTATATTCTGATGTGTTCACTTACTCAGCTTTTTAAAGTTCATGCCAAATATATCAGAAACTTAAGAGCATAAATAAATGTATGTGCTCACAAGAAATCAATATAATTGTGCCAAAATCAGGTCCTAAGAAATGCACATATTTGCAGCATAATTCATGACTTTTTAAAAAAACAAATAAAGTTATCTTCTTTACTTCTTCTTGAACTTGCTACATTAACAAAAAATCACTCTCAGGACATTTCAGGGGATTTTATACTGTACCTAGTGAATCTTTTAAACTACATCCCAGACTAAACCAACATATACTGTTTTCTTCTTTTAAAAGTATGTATAGCATATGCAGTTTATCTGCTTTGGCAATTTAAAGTTTGGTAGAACAAGAAAACCATAAATCTCCATTTGTCTAGGAGTCAGCTGGTTTGTAAAGAGGATATACTCTTACAGGGAACTCTCAATAGCAAATTTATTGTTAAATGCTAAAAGTCAACGGTAAAATACTCTTCTACAGAGAGAGTCTTGAGTCTCTTACAGCGCTGACAATGGCAATTTGCTAGGCAGAAGAATATCCAGTTTGCTTTCTGATTGCTACAGTGGTTCTGAAGATAAAACAGAAATAAGTGCTTGGGGTAGGAGCTGACATCAACCAGGTGGAAGCAGAAATAGGGTCTGATCTACAACTTGCTGAAGTCAATGCAAATCTTCCATTTGACTTGAAAAGGATTTGGATTTACCCATATTGAATACAAAAATGTCATTTACTTTGTCATTATCCAGAGGATCTCCAATAACTTAATACAGAACGTTAAGTATCACAGTTTTAAGATGTATCTTGCGGACCATCAAACAGTAGGGTGGACTTGAGTTGAAGCACTGCGTTTTTCATTCCTTCTTTCCAATTACAAAATCAACAGCAACAGCATTATTTTTATTTTTTCATATTATAATTAGTTTAATTTCCCCTCAGAGGTATAAATATCTCTGCATATCGTTTTGCTTTGTTCTTGAGGATGGTAATGATTTAAGATAACTATTTTGGTGTGTAATACACAACTGGGAATCATCATCAACCTGCGGTATGCTTTTTTTGATTTGTTTTTGCTGAGCTGCTGATTGTCTTTTATATATTGTGTAATGAAACATGAATTAAAAATAAACTGGAGACCTGTCAGTTAGAAAATGGCTATTTTTGCTTAATCAAATCCATAAGCTTTTTTTCTATTCCTCCGCTACTCAGGTCATTTAAACTGTAGTATTTGTGAACAATCTTCTCAGCTGTGACAACGACCACTCTAAGCCCATGGGTATCTTCTCCCAGTTGACATCCAATTGCTGATGAAACCACCATCTCTAGATTCTTGTAGAACCCTCCAGCATTTCTATGGTAGTGTCCAGAAAATACAGCTTTAATACCTGTTAAAATAATATATTTATTTATATACACAATACCTTATATTTGCAACATATATTTAGTTAACACTTTCAGACTACAGAGCAAATTCTCTTAAAAACAGTATGAGCTCCTTTCTTATGCTTATGCAGTTACTATAATTCAAGAGAGATTTATATGACTAAGAATGGCTACAACTTGCTGTGTTTACCCATATTTTCTTAATGGACATTTTTAATCGAATGGATTCAGAAACTGTGAAAATAGTAGGGAATCATTTACATGATACTACATTTACAAAAAATAATAATAATATTAAGCCACATACTAATATTCAGACTAACTAATCACCCCCTTTAAGAATATTGGAGCCCTACACAAACTCAGATTCAAGATAGATATTTTCCCATTACTCCTTTGGTCAGAAATAGTAAAGATGTGATAGCATGTTAATTTAGAATTACAAAAGAACTGTCAACAAGTAATTAACCAGAAGACAGTGGTGCATGTAGATAGGAGCAGAAAGTCAATTGTGTGGATCCACATGTTACCTTTCAATTGACATTTGGATAAAGGACTCTCAAACCTGTTTACTCAAAGAGACAATGATTATAAGAGTGAATGACTTTAAAACATACAACAAAGGCAGAATAATAAGTGAGACAAAGTGGGGAAAGTAATACAGGCAGTCCCCGGGTTACGTACAAGATAGGGACTGTAGGTTTGTTCTTAAGTTGAATTTGTATGTAAGTCGGAACTGGTACATATTGTAGGGGAAACTCTAGCCAAACATTTCTCCAGAGCTCAGTCTTATTCTTCCACACCTCACTTCCCTCAGTCTTTTATTCTCAAGCTGAGGTGTCTACTGAGAAAAGCCGCTCCGCGTCTCCCTGGTCTGCTGAGGGTGGGTGCTAGCTTTGCGTCTCCCTGGTCTGCTGGGGGGAAGCAGCTAGTGCAGGGTTGCCTCACCCCGTTTGTAAGTAGGGATCTGATGTAAGTC